GCCATTCTCAAATGCCAAATCACAACGAAGTTGTCGACTGAGCCAACCCAACTCGCCTGCGCAACTATTGAAGAGTTCCTTCTCTTGCAAGGTTAAACTCGGTTCAAGCTGTTTTGCTCGTTGTCGTTCAATCGAAATCTTCTTCATGGACATGGCATAGTTCCTCATGGAAACATCAATGTGTCCATCTGGCTGCTGCTTCACCTCTCGCCCGCGGAAAATAGAATCCCGAACCTGGTTTGTAGCAAACTCAAGCGAAAGGGCAGATTTAGCAAAAGCACGCTGCATATAGGCCTCCTCAACACCGCCTTCAAGATCATCCACATGGGTCACTAGGACTCCTCTCAAGCGGCCTCCGTCTCGGAGGCAAAAGAGCGCTGCCTCAAGGCGTGATTCCTCCCAACCATCTGCAATGAGATGCTCACGCAACGCTAACCAGAAAAGCCTGGCGGCTTCAGCGAACCCGTAGATCACAACTGGCCTGGTTGAAGATTGGGCAAACCGCCACGTGGCTGCTCAAGATACACTTCCCTTCCAACTGACTTCCCACTAAAGTATGCATTCTTAATGTCCTTTGCAAGAAGTGTGAACTGGAAGTATGCAACTAGGCATAGACAAATACTTTCTGCAATGGCACTTGCTGTGGGGATCTCGACGAAAAGCTCCTAAGGCCTTATCTTTAAAACCCTGAACAACAAGTCTGCTCTTTGCTTTGAAGTTCTGTCCAACAAGCCCGTCATTCTTGTTTGTTCGTGCACAACGTGTAGGCACAATCAAATCTGGCTTTGTACTGCGGATCTCTGCACTGTCGGCTAGGCTGAGCACCGAACAAGCATCTTTGGACAACCAAGCCTCCCATTCTGTCTGATCAGAACCACCGGGTCCTGTGAAAAGCTTCTGTTGCACCGATGAAAGTTCACTCAGTTTGGTTTCCTTGCGGCCTCGCTTCTTGACTGGGTTTTCAACCTGCCCTGCAGCAAAAGCTCCATCTGCAAGTCCGGAATATCTCTCTTCAAATCGTTTCGTTTGACTCCAAAAAGAAATTGAGACCTGCTGAGTTGCCGTTGCTGGTAAAATTTTTCAAAACGATCATACTGTTGTGACGCTTTTGTCTTCAAGAAATTCTTTGGTTCAACTGCCATGTGCGCAAACAAATTCTCATGAGCATAGTCTGTCTTCTCAGGCGCTTCTCCAACTCGAAGCCTCTTGGCCTCGCGTTCAGCTGGTTCCTCTTCGGCCTCAACCAACGGTGAAAGCTGTCGAGTCGGTCTTGTATGATAATCATCCAACTCCGGATCAAACTCATCACCTGCAGGAATAGCTTCTGGCGGTAGTTGAGGTGGAATATGTATTGGAAGACTTTCTGCTTGTCTCAACTGTTCTGCTCGCCTTCTGTCTCGCTCTGCCTCCCTTTTCTCACGCATCTTCTTGAAGAAATCACTGGATTGAGCATCACGCTTAGCATCTCGCTCTGATTCATATTTCATTCGAGCCATGGAAGTCGAACTGGAGCTCATGTCTTCCGGTTCCGCCTGGGCCGGCATGGGGACATCGGCCGGAGCGGCGGCTTCTGGCGCCGGAGGTGTCTCCTCGATCTCCTGCTCATCTAATTCGGATATGTCTTCATTCGCATTCTCTACAGCTGGAATTTCATCAGCCTTGTCAGGGACCGGACCTCGCCTCAAATCAAGAAAATCCTGTTCCTCCTGCAGCTGGAGCGGTGTCAATGAGTGCCTGCTCATGGCTAACTGCCATCCACCGATCAAGCTCCTCTTCGTATGCTCTGCTCGAGTGCTCTGGAGAAACTGCTATCAAGATTCCACGGTGCGAAAGCCACACTGTTGATTGACCCTCATGTCCAATGACACGGGCTATGCCGCGCCAGTTGCGTGGTCCTGGTTGACGATCACCACGATCATAGTAAAAGACACATGTCCCAACAGGAAAAGGACCACGTGTCGGACGGATCTTCCTCAACTCTGCCCTTCTCAAAGCTGAATCGTTCGCGGCTCTTGCAAAACTCTCTCTTGCGGCGGCCCTCAATTGATTTTGACGACAGAACCTGGAACCAGGTGTCTCAGCTAAGGCCATCACGCCTATACGATGAGGTTCGCCTTCATCAGAAAGAGCTGCCGGCAAACGCAGGTCATGGCCTGTGACCCATTGGCACGGCGAGAAGCCATGCTGCCGCGACATGGAGTTCTTGGCCATGTTCACAGCCGCCGTTGCAAGCAAAAGGTCATCTCGACCACTCACCTGCTCGGACCAAACAACACCTTCTAGCGTGGCCTTCCAGAGTCCATTGCGCCTCTCGACTTGGCCAATCTGCCAGGGTGATGCTTTTGCGGCTGTTGTGAAATGGCACCCATGTGCATCGAACTCGATTGAAACATCTGAGAGAAAGTACTTGGCACGATCTGCTATCACTCCACGTTCAGGGTATCCTGCCCACGACAACCAATGTGATGACAATGCTTCAAGCAAAACATCCCCTGTAGGATTTTGATGTGTCTGGGGCAATAATGCACAAACATGGAAACAAGTACCTTGATCAAAGATGCTCAACCAACTCCAAGATTGCCCGTCTGCGTCTTTGTCTGTCAAAATCTCGTGCAAACGCGGGGAATCCTCACATCGAAAGAGTCTTACTGCTTTGATTGCTGTATCTGATGCTTTTGTAATCCTCAATGCTCTCAACATTGCTGGAACGCTGGCATGTCCAAGATTGACGTGAATACGCTTCACTGCAAGCTTGAGTTCTCTCGGAAGCGCTGTCCATTTGCGCTGTCGCTCTGCTTCCTTGGCTGCAAAACGATCATCACGCTCTTCTGCCAAGCCTTCACCAAGAAATCTCCCGAACACTGCAGCATACAGCCTCCGAGACTTTGCAACGAGTGGCCTCACCTGTGATGATGGAGCCATCTTTGCCCATTCCTCCCAACTTGTAGACAACACCTTGTTGTTCGCTGGAAGAATGTAGGACTGTCGCAAAGGAACTTCTTGTGGCCCAGCATGGGGCTGTGGTTTGCGCGTCCGAACGGCTTTGTTTGACAACAGGATCAAATGAACATCGGCTTGGGCCGACTCATGAGATATCCATCGCTCTCCAAGATCTGAACTCAAATCAAGCTTGCGCCAACCATCAACGCCATGCTCCTGAACAAAATCAAAGCTTCTTGCAAAAGAACTTTGGTCTGCTCCTCGGGAACATCTTGCCAAAACCCTCTTTGCACTTGTCTTGTAGGCTCACGCTTCCTACGCAAACCAGGTGTCCTTGGCGCAGGTCTGCCTCCCGGAGTCATGGGGACCTCCGGAGCGGACACATCTGGCATAGGAATGTCCTCCTGCTCATCATCTCCACGAATCTGCAAGCGAAAAATGGATTTGCCTTTCCAAAACTCTTGCGTCTCCTTCACTGGCTGCTGCCACCAAGTTGAATCGTCACGCTGCTTCTGAAAGCTTTCAAGGAAATTTAGCTCGGCGACCCTGCCGTCAAGAATATGTTCAAATTTGACACCTGCTGGAAACTTCATTTGAGGTGATGGCGAAAAGAACTTTCTGCGAGGAAGATTGTGATGTCGAATCAATCTGTCACCATCTAATTGCCACAAATCCTTGTAAACACCTGTAACAAATGGATCTTCATCTGAGTCCATTGCCTCATCTTGTTGATCGTCTGCTGCTAAGGCATGTTGACCGTCACGGAATGACATGCTCAAAGCGTAATCTATCTCCATCTGATGTTCGACACCACTGCAGATTGCAGCGCATAGTGCCTGGGGGTATCTGGCGGCTTGAGCGGATCGGAGTCCTCCGCGATTGCTGCCTAAGAGCTGTTCATGTGCTCCCCAAGCACATCGGCACCTTTTGCCAGAGTTTGACAACCAACCTGTGGGCTTCTTGACGGGCTTCTGGGAAACGAGGTCACGGTGATCATAAGCACATTGATCTCCAATAACGTGCTTGCCCTGTGCTTCATCCAACAATCGTGCAAGAATGTGTTCAAAGATCCACGTCAAACTACCTGCTGGATTCTCAACAAGGTAATACCGTTGCTCGGCATGTTGCTTTAAACAAATGGAAACGACCAACTGCAATGCCTTTGCTCCCAATGTCTCCCGCCAGTGCTCCCAATCGATCGGCGGCCTGAGGTTTGTAAGCAATGACCAAAACTTGCAATCAAATGCTATGAGAACAAGAAACGGGTTACGCTCGTCCAAAACACGGCGCAACAAACCACGGCCATATGGAGCTAACAAATCATATCCGTCTATCAGGCCTAGAGGTTGACTGTTTGTCCAACCATAATGCCCTGCTGCAAAACGTGTTGTAACAAAACTCCCACCAAAAGGCTCAAACAGAACTGTTGTTGCGAAATCAAAGGCGCTGAACTGTTCTGCTAAGCTGTACTCTCTCCTCAACGCTACCCACATTCTAGCGTCGGCTGCTTGAACACGTTTGGCGGCCTTCTCAAGCTCTCGACGTCGTCGTTCCGACGCCTGTCCAATGGGATCCTTGGACGACAAACAACGGGCAGCATGCGAGGCTTCGATCACTTCTTTGGCTATCTGGTGAGGCTCTGGAATAAAAGGTAGATCTGTCAACAAACTCATGCGGGCTTCCTCACCATAATAAACCAAGAGATCTTCTCTTTCTGAAATCAACCGTGGCTGGGCCAAATCATGATCTCTAATCCCCAAGCTCCTCTTTGTAACACACCTCAATGGCCAAATGTCGGGACAGTGTCACAAGCATGGGCAACTGTAAATTCAAACTTTTGACCTCAACCAACTGCTCACGGACACGAAGCACCATATCTAAGGCTGTCATCGCGGCAATAGAAAGAAGAAGGGGCGTTGAACCACTTGTGATTTCTGCACTGAAAACCTCTCCTTTGTGACCTTCCAAAAAGATCGGAATCCTCCAAACAACTGCACGATCATCTGTCGTTGCACCGTTGGCGAAATGAAAGGACTTGGTAGAGGCAGTCGGGCTGCAGCTCATACCTTCCGGCAAAGTGGATTCATAGCCTCGGCATCGAGGGTAGTCATAGCAGCCGCAGCCGAAGAACAATCCTGCGTCCTCCCGGTTGCGACGAAGGACCAGAGGATGACCGCCAAAAGGGCAGCCGAGCCACGGCGGAATCTGCCCAATCGCCATGCCAGCTGGGACCGGTACGGATGTTCTGGGGTCCATGGCCGGATGCTCCACCTGGCCGGGGATGGCGTCTTCGGGCTGGTTGTGGTGCGAAAAGTTCCCGTCACTGGCGACATCACTCGCTCGAGGCTGTGCAACTGGGTTGCTGGGCTGAACTCCCCTTGGCTCTCACCATGGACTGGCTGGTCATTCTCGGCGGCGTAGGAATAGCCACGGGCTGCCGTGGGCTTTGGCTTGGCTGCGGATTTCTTGGCTGTCGCCTTGGGGCGTGCTCCTGGGGTGATCGGCTTCTGTGATGATGCTGTTCCGGCTTCCAATGAATCCACTCTCAACTGAACGAACTGCTTGGCGCAGCCCTTGCAAGGAACTGGTTCTCCTTGGAAGAAGGCCTCAAGCCGATTCTGCAACTCTGACTTGTTGCCTGAGGTCGCAATTCCCCAAGCCTCACACTCGGACGAAAGCTCGTAGACCTTCATCTCCATCAGCTTGGCTGGCCGGACATCCTCAAAACTGGGCGCCAAACAAGGTACGGATCTGACTGGCCGGGGGATCTCAATCTCCACCTTCACGAACACTTTGGCTGGGCTGTCTGGAATCATGGGTGTGGCTGTCGTATAACCCTTGGCATAGGTCATGTCATTGATGGGGGTGGCTGATGATGTACCAACGGATGATGATGCCCATTCCGACTCTGATGCCACGGGCACGGCCTTCTTGCGCCTTGATTCGAGGTCAGCATCCAGCATGGGCTCCGCCTCTTCTGTCTCCTCCTTGATCTCGCCGACCATGTTGCAAAACTCTGTAACATCTTCTCCACGCTCATCAAAGTCCAGCGAAAAAAAGGAAGGAGCTTCACCCGCGAGGTATGCCTTGCCCTTTGACTTGCCCTTGCCTGAGCCCTTCTTCTTGTCGAACTTCTTCGGGCCAATCTTGGATGAGGTCCAAGCCTGATCGCCCGCCCAATGGCCAATCTTGCCACATGCCGCACAGCGTGTGCGCTGCTTCTCCTTCTGAACTGCGGCCTTGCGATCTTCAATGCTGATCTCACCCTTCACATCGCCATGGAAAAAGCCTCTGCTCTTCTGCAACGTGCGCAAGTGCTTGCGGCTCTCCTTGTAGGACTTGCGCTGCCGATCCATGGCCGCATAGGCCTCGAAAACTTCATCATCACCTGAGGCTCCAGCATCGGAATTGGCCTCACCGGGCCCCTCTTCCTCATAGTCCTCCACTGCGACGGTATCTTCAATCGTGGTCTCCGACGCGGTCTCATACTGCTCACAATCCTCAGGGATGTCGGGCTCCTCCGTGACTGCATGGGCATAGCGCTTCTTCTTGTAACTCTGATGTCCACGCTGGTGGTTGCCCCAATCACGATGGTTGCGCGACTTCTCGCGCTCATGCACATCATAGTACGACACACGCAATGCCTGCTCAACACCCTCCATGGTGTAGTTGGACTGATTCGATAACAAAGTCTGCCTTCGGTCATCTTTCGACAATCCAACATGCTTGAGGAGGAAGTAGGTGCGAAGGTCTTCTGACATTGTCGTACTGCCATCTGTGAGATCTTGCAAATCTGACCATGCCTGGGACTGCATACGAAGAAATGCATCAATGCTCTGACCTTTGCGACGATGGCACTTCTCGAAGAAGGTGTCAAATGCTTCGGTCTTCTTGATCACGGTCACCTTCTCAATGCTCTGCAAGCATTTGAACACATGCTTGTAACCATCTTTCTCTCGCAACTTGGCAATGTCTTCGATCAACACCTGACAACATCGCCAGGCCTCGCCATGCAGGGCGTCCAACAGCTTCTTGGCAAATCGCTGTTGCTTCTTTGCTAGATCTCGGGCTTCTTCTTGGGCATCTTTTCCATCGCCTTCCAGATTGGCATATTATGCAAAAAGGACTCTTCGGCGATATTCCTTCATCAGGCCAGGATCTGCGCCGCTGTAATGCGGCACTCCGTCCTTGTCAACGACCACTTCGTCGTCTCGGTACAGGCCTTTGTAGCCAGAATCATCTCGATTCGCCATGGCCAACGCAGCTGGAGCCGGTGTATTACCGGCTCCGCTACCAGTGCGAAAGTGCCCAACTGGCAGCAGCGCCTATTTTACCGCAACAAAGAACGAAAAGTGTCATGCTTGTGAAACCTGAAAACTCCTGAGGTTGCTTCTCGGTTTGTGCTGTCGTCCTTGCTGGGGTCATGCTCTGCTTCCGCATTGGCAGGCCGGAGTCGTGCTGAGACATCTAATGCTCTTGCAGCGCCTTCTCGCGGTTCAGACCGGCTATCAAATGCAAACGGAAATGGCCACATGGATTCGAAACAACTCAAATGATGCAAATGCCACCGAACCAAGGGGATCTTTCTCACCTTGCTTTACACAGTTCATCTTCGGAACCTCGCTAGAAAAACTCTGGAAGCTACTCTTGCAGTCTGAACCTGGACACTTCCAGCTTGTACCTGCTGATATTCGGCTCTTGACATGGAAGTGTCCAAACCGTTCATGGACCATACTCTATGGCTCCCCTAAAGTAGCGCACAAAAGATGCTCTGAATGCAGGGCTCCTGAGGTACCCTGGACCCCAGCAAAAACCTCAAGGGCATGCTGCGCTGATCAACAATCAAGGCATTGATGCTGTGCTTCATGATGAATTCACCAAAAACGTTGGAATTGTAGAAAAGCATCAATTCCCTCAACCTCTTTCTTTCTGTTTCCCTTTTTTAGCTAGACCATTCTTCCCCTCTTCTTTCGTTATGTTTGTCTGTTCTTCTTTAGACATTCTTTAGACTTGTCTTCCTTTCCTTTTTTAGACATTTGTGCGAAAGGCAAAGGCGCGAAAGACTTGAAAACATCTGAAATGTCGATCGATGCCAGCCTCATATCTTCAGTGTCAGCCCTTGAGCCAGCGCGACTGGCGACCACCTCGCGCGCGGGCGGCAATGTCGCAACACAATTTCCACGAGAGAGTCGTTGCGGTTGTTTGATGCACAGCTTGGAATCAGAGGTTTGGGGGCACAGAATGGGACACGAGTCCGCATGCTAGCATGGTTCAATTGCTGATTTCGGCTGTTGCGGGTTTAAAGTTGCTGTGACTCCTTTTCACACGATCTGCGTTTCTTTGCAACTTGGCACCATAGATCGTGTGAGGCTGAAACGGCTTGTCGCTCGCGCTGCTCTCGGAAAGCAAACGGTTTGAGGGCCTTTTCAGAATGCAGGTTTCCAGATTTAGCCGTACCAAAAATCAAAGACATCATCTACCATATCTACAAAACTACGCAGAAACAACTGCATCCTGAAAGAAACAAGAATCCATTCCTGTTCGAACTGGACAGGTTGTTTAAATAGTGAATGTCATTTTGGCGTCCCACCCGCTTAGAGAGACACAAGCGCGAGGAGGTTGTCGCACAGCCTTTGCAGATGTTAGCCCACAAGAGATACCTAGTATGCTGAGCGCGTCGCGAGTTTTTGCACTTCCATTTAGTGGTGTACTTTCCTCACGTCGTGTGAATCTACCGCAAGAAAAAACGGAACTGGTGACATGCAAAATACATGCAATGTTAAAGTCACATGTCTCATGCTGGCACAAGGCTTGCGCAAGGATGCAGGCGAACGTGTTCATTCGGAGTTCGCAAAAGTAAGTGGTCGCACTGATGCTCGGTCCCATCCGCACGCTTCGGCCGCTTCGGGGCGAACGCCGGTGCGAGCGTGGGGTGTGGGCTGTGACCCCCCCAGTCGTACAGGGCTTCGAGAGGGCTTCGAGGGTCAGTCTGAAGTATTTGTCTCTGGATGCGAGACACCTAGCTGAAGCAATCTCAATGTCACCTCAAAACAATCAGTGGACAACATACAACATCCATCCAGTTTTTCAACGGCAGGAGACAAGTCCGACTTTCACCCAAAGACCCAAAGGCATTCACTTATAAAAATATCATTTACAATTATAAAGAAAATCCAAAGGATCCTCTCCAGGATTTAGGACCTATGATTATATACTTTCTGATTGGAAGTAGGTTTGATCAGAGAGAGGATCACGTTGACTTTGCCAAATCAACCTAATAGCGATGGCCTCCCTAGTAGCGATGGCCTTAAAGACCAATCCACTCCTTTAACAAGTTGGTCTCCAAACGGTCTCGGCATGCCTGATTGCTGACAATCTCAGTGATCCCGATCAAGTGTTCCGCACGTGTTTCCGAAGAATCAGTGCTTGGAATCTGGACAAAGTAGAGCCGCGCTTCCAAGGTCGTACCGAGCGTATCCAGTAGCTGCAAAGACAAAGATCGAGCAGGAAGGTCGACTGAATTCCCGTCTCGAGAATTCTCGTCAGACTCTGAGATCACATCAAGGAACCGGTTTCGATCAGCTGGACTGATCAAATCAATCATTGAAGCTCCTTCCAAGTTGTAGCCCCCTGCTAGAAGTTCCAGAAAGGATCGCTGTGGATCTTTTATCCGTAAATCTGCGGTGAGCTGAACAAAAGAGTCGCATGTCACACTCAAAAGCCGGCATGCAGCAGCCACGCTTGTGTGAGCTTCTTTGGTCTTCGTTTCCATTGATATTGTACTGGCCTCCGCCTTCTTCACATTTACATCAACATACACGCAAACCAGTGTCAGCTGTGCAATAAGAAACAATTCGTTGAAAATCGTTGCAGTTACCGACCCACCCGGATTCAAGGAGACCGCAATGCTGATGTAGAATGGAGATAAAGCCAAGTTGGTCCAGAGAGCATGAACTGGATTTAGAAACATCAAGGCAAGAAGCAATCTCCCGGCGCAAAGTGCGGGGATCAGCTCCGGCGGTATACCATATCCTGGAAAGCGAAACTTTGCACGGCCGTTCCAATTATATATTTCTGATCAGTCTGGTAGTTTGAAAAATCTTCCGATGCGGCTGTTTCAGAGTGGATCTGCACACAACATGTCCAATTGGGAGACAAAGGTCGCGATTGCAGTTGTGTTTCATGATTGATTTTACTCTAGGACCTAGGACACTATTCAAGCAAACAAAGTATATAGATGAATGTCGATGTTGTGCAGCTTGGACCTATGTGTGTACAAAGGTCCTTGTGTTTTTGTCATGAAGTCTTGAAGTGGCAAGGTAACAAACCCAAAAACTACAGAAGAAATTTAGTTACAAATAAAAAACAACGGGCTGCCCTGTGCCCATCCGGGAAAAATTGTCATCTGAAACCGTGCGTTTGGGGATTGTTCTTGAATAAAGTTTACCTCGAGTAGACTACAGCTGTTCTAGAGATACTTACAATGTTCAAACACAAGGGCGAATGCAGCTCCCCAAAATTCATCGCGCTCTTCATTTTCAGTGCCAGCATTTATCGAGAGTTGTTGGGATATCACACCATCCCATTACTCATGTCTTTGGAGTGAATGCGGTTTGGTCGTTTTGACCATGAGCGAGGTCACATCCTTAGGATGTGTGCTCTAGGCTTTGAGATGTGCGGAGCGGTTCGGCTCATCTCTGCGTGTCCTTTGGACCGTTCTGCGTCTGCTAGATTTGATTGGAGAGATGCAACAAAGGGTTGTGGAGGGAGGGGCTGAACATTGAAGTACTCTAAAACCAAAATGGCACGTAGAACATGTAAGATCACAAAACAGTATGTGAAGGATCACTAAAAAAGTTCTAGAGATACTTACAATGTTCAAACACAAGGATGAATGCAGCTCTCCAAAATTGGTCGCGCTCTTCATTTTCACTGCCAGCATTTATCGAGAGTTGTTGGGATATCACACCAAAAGCTTTTCCAACAACACTCGGACAGAAAACCCCAAAAGGCTCTGAGTGGCTGTTGGCAGCAAAAATGATGTCAGACGCGGCCGATGGGCCACTGCATGGGATGAACCCTAACCGAGCAGCGAAACCGAAAGAAGCCTTCCAGGCTCATGCGATGCCTATGCGTAGCGGCGAAACGGGATGAAAGTTCGGATTCTAGATCCCAGCGACTAAGCAAGTCTGCATCTTGATTCGAGGAACCGGGAATGTGTGAGATGTCGCAACTGATACGCTCAGAGACTAGAATGGAAGCTAAAAGCTCAACAACGTAACAGAGCGGAGCGGACGTCGTGAAGAGTTTATTGCCGGAAGCTTCGGCAGCAACATCATCACTGAGGCTCTGAAAATGGAGGGGAACACATGTTGTGGTGCAAATAGCTAAGCATAAAAGAACAAGGAAACCTTGCGCCAGAGTTTCGTAGCAAGCGATGTCTCGCTGTGCGTCTGGTCGAATTGGGACGTCGAAGGACTTTACATCTAGCACTGTCCATTTTTCGGCAAACCAAAAGACGGTGGATTCAGACTCGATGAGACCACCGACTTGAAAAGAGTCCCCTTGGGCTGAGGCATCAGCGGATGCACGAATGGAAACCTGAAGCGCAGGTCGGGTACTTCGGAGCGGGGGTGAGATTTTCAACCAATCTAACCACAGTTTTAGAACACGTCGGCTATGAACAGAAAGCTTTCTTTGTTGGGCTTTGGGATTGATAATTCGAAGCCATAATCTACGATCAGTCAATCGTACTGATTCAACTTCCTGCAGTGTTTGGACTGGCGTGTGTCGAACAGAAACCAACTTTGAACTGGCCGGAATGATTTGACTAGGGTCCAATATCCTGGATTCACACTGTAGTGGGTTGCTGGGCAACAATACAGATCAGAAAACAGCCAGCGCAACAACGCACGAAATGGCAGGAAAAGATGTGTTACCCAAAGTGCCAACCCTGTAAACTTTTCCAGTTGTTTGCAAGTTGTACTGGCGATGTTTAAGCAGCTCTTCGATCTGTGTGATCAGCTTGTCCTGTTTATCTGGGCGCAGACTTGCAATGCCATTGAAAAAGTTAAAGCGCCATCCTATCCAATCAACCATTGGTCCAAGCGTGCATTTATGCCAACTGAGAGGGAGGCGAAAGACCCGACAAAAGATTGCCAACAAGGCTGCGAACAAGGGAAGGACATGTTTGGGTTGAGTCAACAAGAAATCATCCACGAACAGCCAAAGGCCGTGTTGAATCCAAATCAGGCGATGAAACGCGCGTACTAGCCAAGCACCTAAACGACCCCACCAAAAGGCACTAAATGCGGCGCCAAATGGGCAAACCCGGTAGAAGAAAATCTTTCCTCTGAAAGTGAATCCTACGACGCCTTGATGGTGTTCAGCTGAGACAATTCTTTTGCGCGCGGACTTGACGTCAAACGCGGCGGCATGCTGCATGAGGCTCCGAACAATGCCGTAGTGGGAAACTCTCAACGACATCACGAACCGAGGGATAGCACTGGCGCTCGGGAATCCAACAGTTCTGATTAGCGTTACATACACTACTGTCCAGGACTAAGCGTGGGGGGGGGGGGCGAGAGTCGGAAAAGGCTATTCCAAGTTTACCTAGGCCAACCCCATGAGGGTATCGTTGTTGGGCGTCAGCTTCATCCCCGGTGAACTCAAAAAGCCAACCCTGGTCAAGCTCATTCTGAATGAGTTCCGCTGTAAGGTCGGGATAATCCTCACTAGGTCCCTCGATGGATTTGAAGAGCGGGGATGTCAGAATCGGGGATTGTATCTTTTTTCCCAGAACACATTGCTGGGCAAGATCGGATCATCCGAGGCGCCGGCCGACACTCCTGCGATTAGACAGGAAAACACCTGACCGGGTCTTGGAGCTTGTGACTGAGGGTTTGCAGCGCTGCCAAACACATAGGTTGGTCAGGCCGTACTGACCAATCCACTGGAAGCCATGCGGAGAAAGAATCTCGAAAGCTGCTGATGCACTCTTCGGAGAACGGGGGATTGGGCTTTTGTTGCTCCATGTGAGCAATGAACTCCTTGTGAAGACCTTGTTCGAGGATCATGGGGATCCAGCAGTCTCGCAAGGACTTGAAGGAATCACCGACATTAGGTGGGAAACTCCATGGAAAGGGCTAAATCCAGGCTTAATTGTGGGATCCGTGGACCGATTCGAGAACTCAGTCGATGTGCGATGGCTTGGGCAAGATCGGATGGATATTCCGCTGTTCGCCGGCTGAGGTATGCGCCCGAAGCATCTTGCATACCTGCATACGGCTAATGAGTGGAGTGAGAACAGTGACTACAGAGGTCACAGAACCAATCATGACTACGTGCGAACATCCAATGTTTGGAAAGGTCCAAGCCGAAAGAACAAGCCGCAAAGACTACACATTGGCATTGCTTTTGATGCAAGCAGGATTTCACCACCGGATCATACCACGTGAAGGCATTTGGTGGGGCTTCAAGATGTCCATGGCCACCCGCCGCATGGACATGTTGTAAACAATGCGCGGCTCGATGCAAAAGCTCGCGACTCTGGTACAGACGCTGTTGCTCTTGGGGATCGGGGTCAGGGATACCCAGCGGAAATTCATAGGTGCGAACTGGTGTGGGGCCAGGTTGTCGAAGCTTCAACAAAGAGAACTCGCTACAAGGTGGGCTGGCCCCACAGTATGAAACTAGACCTGAAGCACAAATGCGCAACAAATCTTCGAAAAAGAAATCGTTGAGAAGATCCATTTCGGGCGATACCAAAATATCGATAGGCAGAGTAGCTCGGTTGAGTCTTTCCAGCGCTGTGCAAAATTGCTAGAGCTCCACTGCAGATGTCCAAAAACAAATGAGGCCCTGGCGCGATCAAATGAGAACCTGGGCCTAGCGTCGGTGAAACGGAGATTGGGCTTTGCTGGGAGGCTGAGGGTTGCTCTTCGGCAGTACAGGTAGGGACAGGCGGTGAGACCCTAGACGTGTCTGCGTCCCCTTCGGAACACGCTGGGCCCCATCAAAACGGGGCGGATCGGTGATACATGGCGCTATGCTTTTGGCCGCAAACTGTACCATCATTCTTCAACACAGCGCACACATGTTCATACTTACAAGCTTTAGGATTGGAGCACATCCGCTGCTGATACTTAAGGCAAATGGTCTTCTTTTGACCCTCACGAATCACTTCAGTGCCCCAGGCGGGACGATTTAAAGACATGTTGGCTTTGCCTGAGCCTTTGGACGAAGATTTGCTACCTCCTTCACCGCTGCTCTTGCCTTTTCCCTTGAGGCTCACACGAGGCACGAATGGGCGGGGCTGAAGTAATGAGGCCATATCCGATCGAATTTCGACGAGTTCGTGAATTGCATCATCGAGGGCTCATCAATTTTTCCCCAAGGGACTTGATCAGCCAATTGCAATTCGGAAACGTTTGGGGGGCGTAGACCACTCTCGGAATCGAAGCGTTGACTAGCATGGGATAAAAAGCGGTGAACATACTTCTTGAGAGTCGACAAATGTGCTCCCCGACAAAACGCCACTGCCGTCGCCTGCAGGTGCAACAGTTGGGACAATTGTTGAAGTCCAATGTTGGATTGAGGGGTGTCTCGAACGGGGACGTCATCGATCAAGAGGTCTGAGAGGGCTGAAAGGTCCGTGCGAGCGGCTTTGCGAGCTCGAACCATTCTAGATTCGTCCTGGAGTTTGGCGCTAAGCCTATATGCAATCCATTTCCATTCTTTCCGCTGAAGCTGCTGGTAAGTCAAAGCCAGCATACGACTGGATGGCATGAGATCGGGGTCCAAGAGTTGACCTGGGTATTGACGCTCAAAGTTGTCTCGCAATTACCGAATGAGATCCGGGCTGAGCTTAGCGGGAAATGGTTCATTCCATGATGAACTTGCGCGAGAACCTGAAGAAAGGTCTAGGCTATCACCTGATGTTGGGATGGACGATGCATGGGCCAAAAAACCTGAAGCAGCCGCTGGCTGGCAACGCGTCCACAAAACACGAAGCGAAGAGCGAACTCTAGGGG